GGTTTCAAACTCACTACTGGTTTTTTGATCAATATTCAATATGAAAATGTTCTATAAATTCTCCATGCTACAAGTTCAACAAGAAGTAATATATTTATAATAATGATAAGAGAATATAGAATTGAATACGAAAATTCGGAAAATTTGTTTTTACGTGTATAAGGTAATTTAATTGGAGAATGCTGCTTAACTACTCAGTTGACTAGACACTCGCGATGCCGGTACCGTACCGTCTTACCAAATACCGGTAGTCGGTTATAGTCGCTTTGCGTCTAACCGTACCAGTAGCCATACAATCACTCATGAAAGAATGGGAGATACGGATAGTCTCGTAGAATATAGACTACTGAAACACTCTCTGCGCCTGCCCCATACCGTACAGCCGTAACGTACCGATCCAGACAAATGATAAGTCGCCCGTGCTCAACCATTTATTTCAATCCATACTTCGATCCTAGTAGAATATAGTGAGTCGAGGTATGGATTGAAATAAAGGGTTGGGCACGGGCGATTTGGGACGGGTGTTTCAGTAGACTATATTCTACGAGACTATCCGTATCTCCCATTCTTTCACGATAATTGCATGGGTACCGGTACGGTCAGACGGTACCGTACCGGCATCGCACGAGTGTCTGAGCAGTTAAGCAGCATTTTCCAATTAAATTACCTTCTACACGTAAAAAAAATTTTCGTATCCAATTCTATATTCTCTTATCATTATTATAAATATATTGCTTGTGGTTGAACTTGTAGCATGGGGAATTTATATAACATTTTCATGTTGAATTTATTGGATATTGCTCATGAAAATCAGTAGTGAGTTAGAAACCCAGGAAACACATTTGTGCGTGTAGGATTAAGCCTGACAACGTTGGTCCAAGCAGCATCAAATTTTCCAAAAATAAAAACGCGTGACAACGATGGGCCACGAGGCGGACCATCGTTGTCAACCTTTTTATTTCTTTTTATCCAATTTTTTTTTCAATTTTTTTTTTTTTTTACTTTTTTTTTTTTAATTTAATTTTTTTTAATTTTTTTGTTTTGTTTTATTTTTCAATTTTTTTTAATTTCAATTTTTTTTATTTTTTTTTTCAATTATTTTATGTTTTTCACAACTCTTTTTTTATTTTCGCTTTTTCATTTTATTTTTTTAATTTTTTTTTTAATTTTACACGTGACAACGATGGGCCACCATACTAGTGTCTCGTGTTAGTTTGAAATTCCCTGAATTGGTAAATAACAATGGCAGCATAACCTCATTTTGTAATTTAGTTTTGTTTGATTGAAACATATTTGTTTACCTTAGCTCAGGGGTGTGTTACACTTTTTTGGTGAGCCATATAACCAACTTCAGACATCTAGCTGGCCACACAAAAGTTTAGTTTTTCCATGTCTACACAACGAATTGAAAAATCGCTTGGCCTCACAGTAATAAAGGCACCGGGCAAAACGGCGAAGATTCGACAAGAGAAAAAATAAATTATTTATTCTACCTGTGTCAGTGCCTTTTTAATCATAAACTGTCGGATTAGGGTTTTATGCTTGGTGGGGAAAAAGCTGAGTGTTGACAAGGGCCATACTAAATAACTTAGCGGGCCGGGTTGTGTCCTGCATGAAGTCAATGCTAGAACTATTGCCTAGGTCCCATTTTTTGTTTTTAACGCTGTGCATAGAGAATTTGGCTGTAAAAAGGGTCAATAAACATTCGATGTTATTAAAAGCAGTGTCACGGACTTGGAACACAAATTTCAGCACTTTTGATAATTTAGGAGTCATGTAAATATTTACGCATGAAATCTTGCCCGGGTAAAATATGTGCGAACTAATTTCACAAAGCATGAACGACAAACAAAACGCACCATCGTGTCGAGCTTTTCTTTGCAAGCAAACATCAGTTTGACGTCCTCACCTATTTCGTTGCGTCATGCGTATAGTATTTTAGCTTTATGTCTGTTATTAACATATTGTCAGTCAGTAGATATGTCATATACAGTGATACCTCGTGGACGATTTGTTTGGGTAACGAAACTTTTTTGCCACAAAAAATAATGGGTATTATTTTATCACGTTATTACGCACTCCAAAATGTTAATAGAATGTGTACCTAAACTAAAATAATTATACTGCGAAAATACAATGTGATGACATCTCTTCTGCTACGCTCCAACTCAGCAAGCAGTTTTGTTGGTTTTGCTTGATATCAAGCACACGGTTACATATAATCATTTGTAGGCTGGGCATACTATATTCATTGGTTGTTATTGTTTCTGTTTTAATGCTTATGTCCAAAGAAAATATCGGACGAATATTTTCCATAAATTAGGAATGAATGGCCGGTATAAGCCTACGAAAAAATTGATTCGGCCCCCAAGTATATACCTACTGAATAGTTTGACTGTTTCAACTCAGATACTATTTGTTAGATTTCTTACTATACCTACCCACTGTAGCTTGTACATAATTTAGCACCCAAATAGAACTTTATAATATCATATTGACTTTATATGGAAGAAGCTAAAAAATAATTCAATGAAACATCAAATTTTCAAATTTTATTTTACCCTTAAAAAGAACAAATCAAAAGTGTACTATGTTTAGGTAAAATTTACGGGCATAAGCACAGTGATATACATTACCTGCTGGTAAGTTTTCTGTTCTTTATATAAACGAATATTTCATATCTTGAAATGGAGTCAAATATCATGCGGAATTAAAATAATCTTCATAATTACAACAGCGTTGTATAATTTAAATGTTTTACGTCATCCGAATTACACTTTGGAAAGCAGTTATTGATGCGTGTTGTAAGCGACTGCATTTTCAGATGTTCATAATCACTGTAGTAAGACTCAGTCTATCAAATTTAGTCAGTTAGTGTGCATCGGCACTTACGCAACGTATGGGTATTAAAGTTAATGACGTGAAATTACAAAGCAAACGATTCAACCAAAAATTTGACAGTCCTCAGTATCATCAACTTTAACCTGTAGTTTAAACATAGTTTTCATGCTATTATATCTGTTGGCAGTTAGAATTATACATTTTCATAGCGCAACAATTTTAACCTTTAATGAAAGATCCAACCTAAAAAGGGTTGCGCCAGAATACCTTTTGCGCTTTGGTATATTGTCTCGGTATTTCTTCAAGTGAACTTCGTATGGCCCTGAAACTCCACCACTATGATTATATTTTATTTATTTTTTCGAACTGATTAAGATCTTTCTAAACATACTGACGGATCATAAAGTTGACACATACTTGATTTATTGACAATTGGGTTTTAACAAATATGGAAATTAAATCAGTATGAAAAAATCAAATCGAAACAAGAAGACCAACATAAATTATAGAATACAGGCCTAATGATGACGTCCACAGCAAGCATTCTAATGGGCCAAGAGCGCTACCTGGTGTCAGATACGTTTTCTGAGCCATTTTCTGTTTTATATAATTATTAGACACTCAGTATGAGTCGTTTTGTTATCATGTCAGTGTTGTTTTTGTTCTTGTTAGTATTAAAACGCTTTTCTTTTTAATTAGAGGATCAATTGCCTTGAAATTTTCAGTGGTTAAAGATTGTATTTTTTCTAAGAGAATATTACTTATATTATATTCATTTTCAAATATTTCTGTGAGCTCTATCGGATTCGTTTTTTTGTGTGAATGACGTCACCAAAATAGGCGCATCTTGTGGCGGTTCCGCAACCGCCGGCGGATCTCGTGCTTAGCGAAAGTAGGAAGTTTTTTATGGGAAAATTAGACAGTGGAACCTGATCTGTAATATAAAAATGACTCGGATCTGTTGGTTTTTTTAATTCAAGTTAAAACTAAATTATGAAGAATGAACCATCGTCACAGGACCTAGAAAAGCTATGACCGAATGTTTTTTATGGTTTATCGCACAATGCCTTTTATCAAAATTTAGCGCATCCGCATATCGCCAACGCATATTATTTGCGAGGAATTGGTGATAAAATATTTCGTTTAGCCCTGTGTGTCCACATATTTAAGCATAGCTCTCTTGCTTTAGATTGTATCAGACCCACGCATGCCAGAGAGGCAAAAGGCTACTATTGTGAACGTTTATAGAATTCTGTCTTGAAAGGATGACAAGAAACAGGAACAGACGGCCTATTTCACTATTTGCAGTGTGGCCGAACTAAATTTTCTGTAACCAATGCCACTTAAACTTCGTGATTTTGGTTCAAAGATAGATTTATGGATAGCATTTTGATCCTTAATTGACCAAACCATATTTAACCCAATTCCATCTACAAACAACTTCGAAGAAGCTCAATTAACCTTATTCTGGCACCGGTGACCCTGGACGGATAGTAGCGGTCGGGCGGCCCATATTAACATGCCAATATGTAGCTATTTTCCAGATTAGGTTCAGCTGTTCAACGCATTTGACATTTGAAAATTTAAAGTTTGCACTAAGTCACCGGGTTTATGCATTATTCAACAGATAAAACTCTCTTATTATTGAACTTTGTTCGGCAAGTTCGTAGTTAAATGTCTTATGTATATAATGTATTCATGTTGAATCTGTGGTAGCCTTACCTATGAGAATCGAAAAACTAAATTCAACGGGATACATTGAGCTGAATTAAATTAACCATGCATCTATAATTTATTGCTCATATATATTAAACCCGACGTAAAACCGTATGTTGTTTTTTATTGTTTTTATTTTTATTGTTCATTGAAAACGCCCATCTTATTGAGATACGACAGCCATATGACAGTATTCTTTGTAACAAAGATCGTAAAACTAATAGTAAGAATAGAGTACATTTCATAAAACCTTTCCGTATTCAATATGTATTGTTCTTTTTTGGTGGTTTTGTAGTTATGATAACAGCTGTTTTTCTAAGACATTGCCTATCACTGCTATTACAAACATAAATAACGTATAGATTGAAGCCACTGTGGATGGCCAAGTGTCACGTTCGTTCATATCATACGGCATTTTGTAAACAACACTACAAATGGCTGGATCGGGTAACAGAGCATATTCATCTTTTATATTTGGACATAACAACGTTTTGCAGTTTAAAAATCAGAATTGGAACTACGAAGTACTTGAAATTGAAATGAAGTCGAAAGTAAAGTATATAAAATTAAAAAATGTCATTTGAAATATCTGAAACAGTGATTAAAGAACATTCAACTCTTTCCGATTTACGACGTTTCTGAATTGTTGGACGAACTTGAAATGTTGTCGAAGAATAGTTTTTTCCAAAGAGAAAAAGAACACATTTACGAAGTTAGTGATATGTGTACTGTGCTTAGACAGCCACTCATCTGACTCACGCTGTAAATTATTGCTGTCATCTGATTTGATATTTCTCAACTTTGAAGCGGCAAATTCCAAAGAAATTTTTTTCGAATGTGCCTTGTCAAAATTGCTTTCTGAAGTTTTCTTCGGGAGTGTGGAACCATTAATTGAATGATATTTATTCGGAGATTCACTTTTTGGCAAATTATTTCTTTCCAAAAGTTTTTCCAGCCTGCGTTCCAGTTCTGCGTCACCGAGAGAATAAAGTGCTTTTTTATGTTTCCTTGATATTTCATTAATATTTTTTTGTAAGTTGGATAAGTCTGAAATTTTTTGTGATAATTCTTCAATCTGCTCGCGGCTGGACATCCCATTCTTCAGTTTTCTTCGCCGTTCTTTAATTAGCGCTGTTGTGTCCGTATAATCACTAGTGATTACATCCTTTCGAACCCGATTATCTTTCACTTCGGAATCGCATGAATCCTCCTGCATTATTCTGACCCTCGAACACTTTTCTTGCATGTCTTCTGAAAGCGATTCGTAATGATAACCATATTCGGAACTAATTCGTCGATGTTTAGGAACATACTTTGCAGTCAGTTCGTTTAACCGTTTGTCCAACTCAGTTACGTCACCGAAAGCCTAAAAAGGAATAAAAACAGATTTATTTACGTCGCCCAATGTCAAATATACTGCATATATACAAATACCTGTACCGTTATCTTCCGAAACCTAATGAGGTGATACAATTAAAAAATAAAAGAGCATACTATTTTAACACAATTCTGTATTTGAGCATTCTTTTTAATAATATACAAGTTATACAAAAAATAAAATAATTTCATCATTTTTTTTTTAAATATTTTTGCATTCAGATGAATCTTAGGAAAACTTTTTAAAAAACTATATATACTTACCAGATAGCTAACATCGCTGGTGCGGGTAATGGCTGAAGGCATTTTTCTATTATATCTCAAAATTCTTTCTTAATAATCTTTATTCCTCTTCGCAATTTACTATATGAATGAATAACCAAATACTGTGAATAGTAAATTATATGATGGTACAATATATAGTTGTAGAATGTCTGTGTAGTATGTTATAAAACTAAACTTATTTATATATATATATGCAGAGATGTACAGTACAAACAAATCTGCGAATTCTCACCTATAATGAAATATTATACCGAACTGTTCGAGTTTTCGCTGCCATGCCTCATAATAATCTGATATAACATGGCATCAGTGCTACGTATCAAATGTGCGAATAAAATTGATAAGAACTGCCATAGATGTTTCATCTGCGAGGGTCGCAATCAAATGAACCACCTTGTTGCTGCTAGGACTTCACTGTACTTATATAGAGCGAAGAGAAGAAGTTGGACATGGATTTTTAATAACGTCGTAAGACTCGTAACCCGAAATAGCAAGTCAAATGCGTAATGAGTTAACTGTATAACCCTACAATAAATAAAACTAAATTAACTTCCATCCCAGCACACGTTTTATTGGTTTCCTCTAATAATCCACCCGCCTGGTAACGCGAGGAAGAAACGTACCAGCATTGAACCGTCGTGATTAGCGAGACATGAGGGATAGTATATTAATTAGGTTTTTCGCACAATATGCGTGTCAGACTAATCTTTCCCAACGTCGTTCATTAGTGTAAAATCGTTTGTTTTGATCCAAAGTCAACGTCAGTTCACGCTGGTTAACAGCCGGAAACGAACAAGATCGCGGACGCAGCAGGTGATCAACATGTTTCGCTAATTGATTATATCGTCACGCTAATAACCGAATTGCGTAAGTCATTTTTGGCGGTTTTGAGTTTTTTTTATAAAATAAGTATTTATGTAATGCTGCGCACCTGTCTGTTACCTCAGATTTTATTTTAAGAATTCCAAAACCCATAAAAATTGAGATTTTGTATGACATGCAAATTTGTTCAATTGTTTCGTCATAATGAATTTTCATATAAACGCAAAACTATTGTGACGTCACAAAGGCAAAATAACTTCGGCGAAGGATTTTCGAGTTTTTTCATCTCAGATTCTGGTTTAGCGCTTAAAAATTTCAATTTATACTACAGTATAGGAAGGCGTGCACTTGTGATAATCACTGTCTGCGTCCAATTCACCTTAGTTGGCTACTATATAAGGGTACATTGCTGTTTTATTCTTTATATTTAATCTTAGTCTTATTTCGATGGGTGTGCAGAATGTGTTATAGTGCTGAAATATATATTTTTAAACATAAAAAATAATGTAATTGAAACTGATTAGCTATTTTGGGGATTAGACATCGTAGATACTAAGAATTACATTCGTTTTTGGATTGTTCGGTTTTCAGCACTGGTGCATATAGTCAAGTTGCAAAAATGCGTATGTCCCCAAGTCACAAACACATTTCTGCCTAAGTCACAGTGCGCCATTATGACGTCATATGACTGCGTCATACAAATTAACTTAAATCCGGCTACGATCAAAAAATTGAACTATGGCAAATTATTGACTCTCAATGGCATAGCAATATCATTAGGAAGATTTTTACGTTTTTCTCAAAACTGCTAAAAATGACTTACGCAATTCGGTTATTAGCGTGACGATGTTATATTATTATATTGATGTACTTACGATACATCAATTGAGACAATATACAGGGCCGAAATGAAAACCCTCGAGAAATCGTACCAAACAGTTCTCATCATTTTAGACAGCGCCTAGCTATATTGGCCATTCACATAGATCAGAGGGGTGCAACCTACGGTCCGTGGGCCACTGTCCGGCCCATGGGGACTATTGGTGTTGACCGCAGGAGACTTGGTATCCCATTATTTTCTAATGATTTTTCCTATTCGTAAAGGCACCATCGGTGTTTTTGACGCTGTATTTCGTGACTATGTCCACTGGGATAAAAATTCGTCTGACAAGGATTCAGTAACGCGATATTTTTTATCGGAGTCGTGTTGTGATTAAGAAAGGTACAATGTCTACCAGTAAAAAGAAAGGTTGATTTTGAATGACGGAAGCTCGGCGCTGGGTTGCGGTCAACACAATCATGATGTGGTTAGCATGATTTGTCCATACTCGAGTCGAGACAGCGTGGCGTGCGGATGTGCTTCTTCGAGTGGAATTTATTTGGATTGGGACGTACAGCAAGCAGGTGTTTACTTTTCATTTTTTGGATTTATCTAAACAGAACTCGGAATTTACTTAAAGAACCAAGGTAATTTGTTATTGCTAATAGGCATAAAATGCCATTATCGCAGCCGCCTAACATTGATTGCGGCGAAGCCAATAGTTTGGAAGCAATGCAAGGGATTGACATTTCTTCAAAGAGAAAAGCAAAAGATTCAATTGACTCTGAGATTTCATGTAAAAAACTTAATGATATGACACCAGGCAAAGCCTCCCTTGAAATCAATAAATTTGTGGTTCTAAAAGGTATTGAAAAACCTCTTCGTTCTTTTAATCCAAATGTCATTCATAGAAATATATTAGGAAAAATCGGTCCATTTGTAGAAATTAAAGTATTGCATACCGGAAATCTAAAAATTGAATGCGCAAATGAAAAGCAAGTGAAAATTCTTCTAGAATGTGAAGACTTAGGAGACAGCAAAACAAAAATCCCAGTCAAAACAGAGCTATTTCAGAAAAACAACCAGGTTCGTGGGGTAATAAGTGACGTCTGTGATGATTTGAGTGATCAAGAAATTCTTGAATCGCTGTCTGGACAGCACGTTGTTTATGTCAAGCGCTTGCAGATGAAAACAAATAATGGATTGGTTAAGAGTAGATCTGTACTTTTGCAGTTTGACACCCACATTTTGCCTTCGACGGTAAAAATAGGATATCTAAACTTTCGAACGAGAATTTATAATCCTCCACCGACTCGTTGTTTTAATTGCCACCGATACGGTCATTTAGCAAAATTCTGCAGAAGTGCTCTGCGCTGTGCACGATGTGGAGGACATCATAAATATGAAGCATGTGACAGTAGCATCAAATGCCCAAATTGCAGCGGAAATCACAATGCAGGATATGCGGGTTGCGCTAAATATAAAACGGAAACAAAAATTCAGGCGATTATGGCACAACAAAAAATAGCATATTCTGAAGCAAGAGTTATTGTTACATCACCACCAGCCCTTAGTTCAGAAGAATTTCCACAGTTGTCATCTCAAAATAGAAACAATCCTGCTACTAATAATGATTCAAATTTACCGAGTCCGAATCTTGTCAAAAATGCTGCAAACAAATCAATTCCTCGTCAAACGCCTTTATCTCAGCCACAAGAAAATTATGCATGTATTTCCCATACAGCATATAAATCGATGCCTATAACACAGCGACAAACGACCTCACAAATCAACTTTGAACCTATGCTCTTTATGGCTTTCATCGCTGAAGTTATTCAAAATACTATTGCACAATCTAAAGGAGAGCAAGCAGATATTTTTCAGATAATATCATTGTCTGCAAAACATAAATTGAAATTTCCGATCGAAATAGAAAACTTAAAGGATTTAGTATGCCACGAATCTAATGTATAATAATAGCAAGTTGCTCATCATGCAGTGGAACTGTCGGGGTATTTATCGCAAAATAAACGAACTAAAGAAATATATAACGTCTATGAAACAAATGCCTGATTTAATTTTGCTTCAAGAGACTCATCTAATTGCGAAATATTCCCCTCGAATTAATGGATACAATTTGATAAGGAAAGACCGATCTTTATATGGCGGAGGTGTTTGTATATTTATTAGCAACAAGCTTTCATACGCGGAAAAACAATTAAATTCATTGGCGATGGAAATGCAGTGCATTGACGTCTGTGGATATAACATCGTCAATATATATATTTCACCGAGCAACTCTATATCGGAATCTGAAATGGCACGCGCCATCCCTTTCTCCAGAAACAAAACTTTAATTTTGGGAGATTTGAATAGCCACCACCATTCATGGGGAAGTAGAATTAACAATACCCGAGGTAACTATCTGGCAAATATAATCGATAGACACGATCTTGTGATACTCAACACACAACATCCAACAAGACTCAATACAGCTGTCAACTCGCATCCAGATCATCGATGGTCATTACTAGATCTATCTATAGCTTCTCCAGACATCGCACAACAATGTCATACAAATGTAACAAATGATTTTCTGGGAAGCGATCATTGTATTGTTACAACATCAGTGAACGTAAGAAATATTAAATCAGAACAATTTATAGCATCTTGGCGATTTAAAAAAGCTGACTGGTTAAAATTTTCAAACCTAATTTCATCATTAGTGCCTCGTATCACCAATACATTAGACATCGATAGCTTCAACAATAGTTTTACATCTGAGCTCATTCACGTGGCCAACAAATCAATTCCTAGATCTAAAGTTGGAATTATGAAAAGGTCAGTACCATGGTGGACAAATGACTGCGCAAAAGCCATTCGACTCAGAAAAGCCGCGTATATGAAAATGAAGAGGACATTTCACGAAATAGATATTATATACTTCAAAAAGATGAGAGCTAGTGCTCGGAAGATAATACTAGCAGCAAAACGAAATGTTGGCAAGAATTCTGCGACTCGATTAACTCGCCAACCCAATTTTCGAAAGTTTGGAAAATGGTACACGCGTTTACGAACTCGCCAAGAAATTACAATATTCCTACGCTTACGGATCCAAATGGTGCTTCTGTCACAAGTGATTATAATAAGGCAAATCTACTGGGGTCTACATTTCAAACTGAGCAGTACTGCAAATTATAAAAATCAGTTTTTGGATAGGAAACGAAACTTTGAGATTGGTATATATCAAGTAATCAAATTGAACCTCGACTATAAGCACTCATTGAATGTTCCGTTTACTATGCACGAATTAAAAAATGTGCTACAATCGCGTAAAAGTACAGCGCCCGGCCAGGATCAAATAGGTTATCCTATGATAAGCAATTTACCACAAGAAATACTCCCCACCTTGTTACAGCTTTTTAACCGATCGTGGTCCGAAGGGCGTGTACCGAGAGCGTGGCAGCATTCGATTGTGGTACCGATACTCAAATCAGGGAAGAAAGACAACTCGCCGTCATCTTATCGCCCGATATCTCTTACGAGTAATCTTTGCAAAGTCATGGAACGAATGGTGGCCAACAGATTGAAATGGTTTCTTGACAGGTTTAATTTGATTCACGAAACACAATCTGGTTTCAGGTCGAATAGATCAACATTGGACAATATTATTAGTCTGCACGATGATATATACAAGGCTCTTTCAAGCAAGCGTCACGTTATTGCAGTTTTCATTGATATTGAAAAAGCATACGATATGGTTTGGCGTGAAGGACTAATTTATAAGCTTCATAACATTGGTATAAAGGGTCGAATCTTATCGTGGATTAAATCATTTTTATCTAACCGGTCTTTCCAGGTACGGGTTGGTTCTACTTATTCTAACAGTTTTAAATCGGAAAATGGGATTGTTCAAGGTAGCGTAATAAGTCCTTTGCTTTTTACAATTATGATAAATGATCTTCCAAAAAATATATCCTCGACATCCAGAACATTCGCTGATGATTGCGCCGCATGGGAGATTGGTTTAAAAATCAACGAACTTATTTCGGATATGCAAATGACATTAAATCAAATCAGTTCGTGGTGTCAAGCGTGGGGATTTAACATCTCAATGACAAAATCGTGTGCTGTATTGTTTTCAAGATCACGTAAACCTCCACCATTGCATCTCTACATTGATGGACAGGAGTTGCCGGTTAAATCTGAGTATAAATACCTTGGCGTTATATTCGACAACAAATTGAAGTATAAAGCTCATGTAGAACATGTAACACACAAATGTGATAAAAGATTAAATCTGTTGAGACTTTTGACAGGCACAACATGGGGAGCTTCCCGAGAAACTCTGCTTAAATTATACAGGGTATTAATACGGTCAATAATTGAATACGGAATAGAAGCTTATTATTTTGCACCAAAGTATGTAATTAGGAAAATATCGCTGTTACAAAATAAATCTCTTCGTGTTTGCTGTGGCGCTTTGCCCAGCACCCCGATCTGCTGCCTAAATGTTACCTGTAGAGAGATTCCGATTGAATTTCGTCACCGACAGGCTTGCATGAGATATAAGAGCAAAATTTTATCGATTACGCAATATCCGAATACCAACATAATAGAACAAACATGGCACGAGCTTTACCCGAAGTCACCCTTGTTTCAAACCTTCAACATGCTAACCACATCGGATGTCTTCAAGCAAATTTCGGTTAATCGTGTACCCCCTCTTCAGTCACCTCCTTGGGAAATGGAACTTCCAAATATTGATGTGTCGCTCGCGAATATTATTTCGAAAACAGATCCGTTACCTATAAGTAAACTAATATGTGATGAATATATTACTGAGAATTACAGTCAATACTTGTTAATTTATACGGACGGATCAAAGACGGATACAGGATGTGGTTCATCTTTTTGTATTTTAAAGTATGACGTCTCCAAATCTTTTACACTTGACAAAAAATTAAGTTCGTTTACAACTGAACTTTATGCCGTGTACAGAGCATTGCTTTGGATAACTTTGCATCGGCCGTCACGTGTTTTAATTTTGACCGATTGTCTGAGCCTTTTACAAGGATTAAGTAAAATTTACTTTGTTAATCATATGTTGTTTTTTAAAATTAAAACTATTCTATCTTCCCTCAGGAGCCAAAATATTTTCGTAGATTTCGTGTGGATCCCAGGACATGTTGGAATTGCTGGCAACGAAAGAGCAGACAAACTAGCAAAAGAAGCAACAATGGACGAAGTACTTTAACGTCTGTCATCAATTTCTCGAAAAACGAAGCAAAGTCAATTATTAATGCGAAGTGCGAAATGGAATGGAATAACTATTATATCACACTAGAAAAAGCTCAACATTTCAAATTATTCTTCCCATCGATTAAAGTACATAATTCCTGCAAATTATCTAGAAGATATGAAATACTATTGTTCAGACTACAAACAGGCCACTGTCGTCTGAACTTTCATCTTCATAAAATTGGACTCCACGAAAATGGATTTTGCGACACCTGCACGGAAAACGAAACCGTCGAACATTTAATATTAAATTGTCCCCGTTATAACTTCCCAAGATCAATTTTACTTAATCATTGCAAAGAACTGAATATAGGCCCCGTGAATATTATCAATTTGCTAACAAATCCCAGAATTATATCATTTGTTATAGAATACGTCCTCGTAACGGGTCGAAGCATTTGAGCACCGAACGCTTAACATCACAGTCCTGGTGCACAAAACTAAGCCAGTTATAAGCACCATTAAAATAATAATATAATAATAATAAAAAGCATGATTTGTCAAAGCAAGCGACACTATTGTACAAATCCCTCTGATAGCATACTGGATCAACGGCAGGTGGAAACTTTTGGTCAAGAAGTGTTTCTGGAGAATAAATATTTAGAAGCAGAAATGACATACTCGTTTAACAGTGACTCGGCGAGTGGATGATATCTCGGAAAATTATGAGGTGGAACAAAATGACAAGCAATTGTTGATCAAAAACGAGCCTACCTCGGAAAAGATTTGCAAAATTCTACAGGATCTAGCTATGTGTATTACATGGATCTTGAAAATCATGGAACAGGTAATTACTTGCAGGTTCAATTTTGGGTTGCTAAAAATTACTAAGTTGTTCGATGATGCGACCTTTTGCTTCACCATAGTTTTGTCTCATTGTGATAAACAATTTCACGCCCCTGACATAGATCGTTGATTATTTTCCTAAATCAGTGACGCCCATTTGCACCCACGTACATTTGCACATGTAAACTTCACCCAGGATATTTGCACCTGCACACTTTTGCATCCACCGACATATGCGTCGGCAAACATTGCACACATAAATATTAGCACCCGATTCCACCCATGGGCATTTACACCCACGATCATGTGCACCCACAGACGTTTTTACCCACGGAAATTTGTATCCACCGGCATTAGCACCTATGGAACTTTCCATTCACGTACATTTGCACCCGTGAACAATTGCTCAGAAATTTGTAAGTAACCTATATTCTTAGTCAGTGTTGCTTTGTTGTTACAGTCCTTCCTAGTTATAATCTCATGTCACTTTTGTTTTTGTCGATTATTTTCTTTTATTGAAATAACACAAACGTAGTGGAATTTACGATGGTGCTTGGTTAGTGGTGGTCTTAGTGGATGATCGCAATTATACTGTATAAAAACTGGTCACAACTGAATTAAGATTTTATATCATATTTTAAAGAGTTAGTTCAGTTGCTCGCATTTGACATCTGAATAAATTCAAGTTGAAATTTTGCACTTGACTCACCGCTTTTATGCATTTATTCAATGAATAGAACTCGCTTATTAATGAACTTTGTTCCGCAAGTTCTTAGTTAAATGCCTTATTCATGTTGAATCGATGGTAGCCTTGCGTATAAAAATCGTGAAAGTAAAATCAACGGGATAATTCAGCTGAATTAAATCAACCATGCATCTATAATTTATTACTCATATTAAAACCGACGTAAAACCGTATGTTGTTTTTTATTGTTTTAATTTTTAATGTTTATTGATAACGCCCAGCTTGATGAGATACGACAGCCATATGGCAGTATTTGTTGTAAGAAAGATCGTAAAACTATTAGCAAAAAAGAAGCACCTTTCCGTATTCAATATGTTTTGTTCATTTTTAATGGTTTTGTAGAATCATGATTTTATTATAAAGTATTATCAAAGGTATTGCCTGTCAATGATATTATAAACATAGGCAACGAATAGATTGAAGCCACTGTTGATTGTGAGGTGTCACGTTTGTTTATACGGCATTTAGGAGATAACATTACAAATGACTGGACCGAGTAACAGAGCATATTCATCCATTTATATTCAAACGTAACAACGTTTTGCAGTTAAAAATCAGAATAGGAACTACGAAGTACTTGAAATTGGAAATGAAGTGAAGTTGAAAGTGAAGCATATAAAATTAAAAACTGTCATTTGAAATATCTGAACCGGGGATTAAAGAACATTCAACTCTTCTCGATCTACGACGTTTTCTGAATTGTTGGACAAATTTGAAATGTTGTCGGAGAATAGTTTTTCTCCAAAGAGAAATGGAACACATTTTACGAAGTTTATTCATGTGCTTACTTTGCTTAGACAACCATTCATCGGACTCACGCTGTAACACATTGCTGTTACCTTCAGGCGCAAATGAGCAACCGACGGCTTTGATATTTCTTAACTTGGAAGCAGCAAACTCCAAAGAAATTTTCTTCGAATGTGCTTTGTCACAATTGCTTTTTGAAGCTTTCTTCGGGAGTGTGTGATCATTAATTTGATAATATTTATACATAGATTCACTTTTTGGCAAATTGTTTCTTTCCAACAGTTTTTCCAGTCTGCGCGCCAGCTCTGCGTCACCGAGAGAAAGAAGTGCTTTTTTATGTTTCCTTGATATTTCATTTATCTTTTCTTGTACGTTGGATAAGTCTGCAATTTTCTGTGATATTTCTTCCATCTGTTGGCGGCTCGAGATCCCATCTTTCAGTTTTCTTCGGCGCTCTGTAATTAGCGCTGTTGTTTCCATATAATCACTAGTGATTACATCCTTTCGAAACCGATTATCTTTCATTTCGAAACCGCATGCATCTCCCTGCATTTTTCTGACCTTCGAACAATTTTCTTTCATGTCGTTTGAAAGCGATTCGTAATGATAACCATATTCGGAACTAATTCGTCGATGTTTAGGAAAATACTTTGCAGTCAGTTCGTTTAACCGTTTGTCTAACTCAGCTACGTCACCGAAAGCCTAAAAAGGAATAAAAACAGATTTATTTACGTCGCCCAATGTCAAATATACTGCATATATACAAATACCTGTACCGTTATCTTCTGAAACCTAATGACGTGATACAATTACAAAATAAAAGAGCATATATACCATTTTAACACAATTCTGTATTTGAGGATTCTTTTTAATAATATACAAGTTATACAAAAAATAAAATAATTTCATTATTTTTTTCTAGATATTTTTGCATTCAGATGAATCTTAGGGAAACTTATTAGAAAACTCTATATATTTACCAGATAGCTAACACCGCTGGTGCGGGTGATGGCTGAAGGCATTTTTCTATTATATCTCAAAATTCTTCCTTAATAATCTTTATTCTTCTTCGCAATTTATTATATAAGTGAATAACCAAATACTGTGAACAGTAAACTATATGATGTTACAGGATACAGGATATAGCTGTAGAATGTCTGTGTAGTATGTTCTAAAGCTAATATATATGCAAAGATGTACGGTACAAACAAATCTGCGAATTCTCACCTATAATGAAATATTATACCGGACTGTTCGAGTTTTCGCTGCCATGCCTCATAATAATCTGATATAACGTGGCATCAGTGCTACGTATCAAATGTGCGCATAAAATTGATAAGAACTGCCTTAGATGTTTCACCTGCGAGAGTCGCAATTAAATAAACCACCTCGTTGCTGTCATGACTTCACTGTACGTATATAGATCGAAGAAAATGAGTTGGACATAGATTTCATAAAGTCGTAATCCCGAAATATCAATCAAATGCGTAATGAGCAAACTGTATAACCCTACAATGAATAAAACTAAACTAACTTTCATCCCAGCACACGTTTTATTGGTTTCATCTAATAATACACTCGCCTGGTAACGCGAGGAAGAAACGTACCAGCATTGAACCGTCGTGATTAGCGAGACATGAAGGATAAGAAGATTAATTAGGTTTTTCGTACAATATGCGTATCAGACTAATCTTTCCCAACGTCGTTCATTAGTGTAAAGTTGTTTGTTTTGATCCAAAGTCAACGTCAGTTCACGCTGGTTAACAGCACCGGAAACGAACAAGATCGCGGACGCAGCAGGTGATTAACATATTTCGCTAATTGATTATATTATATTATTATATTGATGTAATATTGATGAAAAATGTTCTTGATTACAATCTGAATGTGGGTGCTAAAACATATAGGTGCATGTAATAGATGCAAACCTCTGTGGGTGCCAAAACAATGGAATCATTTAAAGCAGTGGTTCTCAAACTTGTAAAAAAAAATTTGCATGATGGTCCTCTTACAATTTTTCTGATGATTTGCGGTCCGCTAAACATTTTAGAATAGCAACACGTTATATCAAGCATTAATTTAGTGCATGTCATTAGTATGATTCAATGAGTTGGGTGCAATTGCTTGGCTCTCAACACGACACCAGTTTTATCTATTTTGGTTTCTTTCAGAGACAGCGCAACTCTTCTACCATGTCTCATTTCCAATATGTTTCGGAATTTATTGGGAGTAATACATCAGAGACAGGCACACCAGAAAACAAGCATCAGAGAATTTTTCATGCACTTTATGTTTTACTTTCCGCAGAAAACCGCGCGCTTTTTAGAGTTTATATCAAAACTTTTTTCAGCATTTCTTCTTTCGAGACATCTCGCGTGTGCGTGCAACAAGATAGTTTCGAGGTCGCGTTTTTTACATAATTTAGCAAACAGGCGGAAGTTCAGTGCGTCCACTCGTTATGAAAACTGATTTCTAATCTTACGTCCAACCCAAAATGTCTACAATCTAAAAAGCAGTGAGACTAATTGACATTTTGCGATCAGGTACACCTGCTTTCTGTGAATAATGATTGACATTCATTCATGGTACCTGTTCATCCTACGTTCACCAACGTTTATACGCAATAAATTCTCGAAAATTGTGTCATATTTTGGAGAAACATTGTACTAGTATGACATCAAAAGTTTGCTCAGCATTGCGTATGTCACGGTAAAAAGTCGCTTCGTAGTCCCCCTGAAGTTGCTTTACTGATCCCATAGCGATCGTGGACCCCATTTTGAGAACCAATGATCTTATAGAGCAGTATTTCGAAAACTTTTTTTGGAAAGCGCTTCTTTCGACGACTTTTTGACTAACAAATGCTACCGTAAATTTAATTTCCTTTTATCACCAGCATAATGAGACGGATGGGCCTAGTCATCTTAGTCAGAAATAGTCTTATGTTTCTTTGACTATGTCGAATGAGGAATAAATTTTTACGCAAACCCGATTTATATTAAACGCTGAGTTGAGTTTAAAATCGCTTTTCAATGTGACGTTCTGCCTCAAGAATCCCGTGTTCGTAAATATTACAGAATGGGCCAATTCAATCCATTGAATTTATAGAATATGTCTTCAAGTGAGCGATGTCATTTTTTAACACTACGTTTACAACACCTTCGAGATTCGTATTGCAGAAATTCAACAGCAGTATCAAAATGGTAGTAAAATCAGTCAGTCAGTCTCTTGATACGAATATTGAATATGAGAAGGCGTAAAAATAGCATTTCAGGGTGAAAGGAGTCGCGAAAAACCAATGCTGGTTATCGAGCAGCAACACCCGTCGCGCTGATATAAGGCAGCTCCCCTGTTGACCGCACAAATGTTGCATCATTTTCATTGATTGCATAATTGGTTGAGTGTTTGTTTTATTTACTGGCTTTATGACTATCGTCAAAAAAACAAAGAAACCATCGACAGTTCCGCTTCGTGTCCAATAATAAGATGCCAGCTAATATTCTAAATGTTTCACCTGAATTACACAGGGCGACAACGACAGCACTGAGGAGTAAGTCAAGCAGCAATCCTTAAGCACATATTCATCTCCCACGGGATCCAAACTTGCGAACCACAGAGGGTAATCAGCAATGTCAAACGTTTCCCCAACGCTTGGCACGTTGCGCCATTCGCCACGGCCCGTACTAACAACTGGTTCCCTCACTTCTTCAACTATATATAGTAGGCTATATGTATGCCACGTAAATTGCATTACCATGACATGCTTTACATAAATCTAATACGCCTGCATAACTTTTGCAACGCCAAATGTCAGCTGCGGTGCATGTAACGCATTTGTTATTGTCGTCTAACACAGTGGTTCCCACAATGATTTGCACCAAAATCATCATAACGATCTTTGGTAAAATTCTTCTTCGATTCCTCATCATGTACCACGGCCTCCAGTCTGGTTACCAGGCCATAGAAGTAATCAGTCATTTATTTATTTCAGTTACGTGGACTTGATAGTGGGGGAAGCCGTTACTGACCATCGGCTACGCCATGGGTCGACAACCTTTGTCGCTCGCGGGCCAAAATCAAGAGTTACACGTCTTGGCGGGCCGCACATATTTTTTGAAGATGAAACAGGGAACAGCGCGCGAAGACTGCGACAATTCGTGAACTCAACTCGGTCGTCTTATTAATTAAAAGAAAAAAAATGCAAATGACATTTAATGTGACACTGTCTTGTTGCTGCATCACGCTTGATAGCTTTTCATAGGCACGCTGAAAGAAGCCAAGATTGGAACATTTTCTAAATAGGCATCACTAATCCTAGTTCTTTGCTTGTTCTTTACAACGTTCATTTTTTTGTTCAGACACATAAATTTTGTACTTCCAAACATCGAAGTGAATTTTTTCGCATGGTTTGTCAAATTTTGATATAGATATTTTTTAGGAAGATACATTTTTATAAAAATCAAGCACTGGTGCATCTCTCGAATAGAATATGAATTTTATTTCCTCCTTTTGAATATTTTCTGCGCCATAGAAACCGCTGCAATCAGCAACTTTTCTGCGTGTTGCCATTTAATTGTAGGATCGTTAAACAAGTAGCTATTCACTAAATTGGTAGGTTATAATATAATTTAGTCTAGACGTGACTCATGATAAATCTTGTTACCTAAAAAATATAATCTATACTCCTCGAGCGTAGATTATAAAATTAAATCATCGTCAAAACCGCCGTTTTGTCGCTGTAATTCAGTGAAGCGTCGCGGGCCGGATTATTTTACTCCGTGGGCTGGATCTGGCCTGCGGGCGGTAGGTTGCCGACCCCTGGGTTACGCGAACTACCTTACGGCGGGGAGGCCAGTAATCCTCACGCGTGTGATTACCTTGATATAGACTTATACATAGGAACCAAAACTCAAAAGTAACGACGTTTTGCAACTTTAAATAAATTTTTTTGTAGCATATAAAAATCAAAAACTCTCATTTGAAATATCTGAAACAGTGATTAAAGAACATTCAACTCTTCTCGATCTACGGCGTTTTCTGAATTGTTGGACAAATTTGAAGTGTTGTCGAATAATAGTTTTTCTCCAAAGAGAAGTAGAACACATTTTACGAAGTTTAGTGATGTGTGTACTTTGCTTAGACAGCCATTCATCTGACTCACTCTGTAAATTATGGCTGTTACCTGCAGGTGTAAATGAGCAGCCAACAGATTTGATATTTCGCAACTTTGAAGCGGCAAATTTCAAGGAAATTTTCTCTGAATGTGCCTTGCCAAAATTGTTTTCTGTTTCTTTCGGGGGTGTGGATTCATTAATCGGATGATATTTATTTAGAGATATACTTTTTGGCAAATTGTGTCTTTCGAGGAGTTTCTCCAGCCTGCGCGCCAGCTCTGCGTCACCGAGAGAAAGAAGTGCTTTTTTATGTTTCTTTGATATTTCATTAATTTTTTCTTGTATGTTTGATATATCTGAAATTGTTTTTGATAATTCTTCCACCTTCCTGCGGCTGGACATCCCATCTTTTAGTTTTCTCCGATACTCTTTGATAAGCACTAGTGAGTCCGTACAATTACCAGTGATTACATCCTGTTGAACCCGATTATCTATCACTTCGGAACTGCGTGCATCTCCCTGCATTATTCTGACCCTCGAACACTTTTCTTTCATGTCTTCTGAAAGCGATTTGTAATGATAACCATTCTCCGAACTAATTCGTCGATGTTTAGGAACATACTTTGCAGTCAGTTCTTTTAACCGTTTATCTAGTTCAGCTACGTCACCGAAAGCCTGAAAAAGAATCAAAATATGTTTATGTATATATACGTATACGGTATGCAAAAGCTAATTGGGTAGTACAATTAAAAAATAAAAGAGCCTATATATTATTCTAACACGATACCGTATTTGGGCAATTTTGTATGAATATGCTCGCCATTTTCTAAATAATTTGAAGGTTTTTTCCGAGATATTTTTTCATTCAAATGAATCTTAAGGAAACGTATTAAAAAACTATACTTACCAAATAACTAACATCGCTGGTGTGGGTGATTGCAGAAGGCATTTTTCTGCTATATCTCAATATTCTTTCAATTTATTATATAAATAAATAACCAACTACTGTGAAAATCAAACTTATGATGTTACTAGATATAGTTGTAGTATGTCTATTCTGAAACTAAACTCGCTTATATATACAAACGAACAAGTGCAAAACAAATCTGTGATTTCTCACTATAATGGAATATTATACAGAACTGCTCTATTTTTCGCTGATATGCTTCATAATATGCTGATATAACGAGACAGCAGCACTGCGTATCAAATGTGCGAATAAAAAACGATATGAACAGCCTTAGATACTTCATCCGCGATGATCGCTATCAAACACACCAACTCGTAACTGCTGTGACTTCAACGCAAGCACAGCGAAAAGAGAAGTTTGACGTAGATATTATAAAGTCGTAAACCCGAAATAGCAAATCAAATGCACAATGAAGTCAAACTGCATATTCCTACAATAAAAGAGTCACAATAAGGTCATATAAAACGAACTTTACAATGCAGAGCACCTCACGTTTTTATTGGTTTCCTCTAATGACCCACCCGATTGGTAACACGAGGAACAAACGTACCGACATTGAACCGTATATTGATTGGTGAGTCCAGAAGGATAAGTAGATTAATTAGGTCTTTCTCACAATGTACCAGACTAATCTTGCCCAGCGTCGTTCATTTGTGTAAATTTGTTTGTTTTGTTCCTGTCAACGTCAGTTCAAATTAATCAACGGCACCGGAAACGAACAAGATCGCGGCCGCAGCACGTGATCAATGTGTCTATAATCTTATTCGGTTACTCCTTGTTTGCGAGATTGATTTCAATCACTATATCGATGCCGTACGCTGCGCTATATCGAAACATACCTTCGAGAAATCGAACTAACAGCTTTCATAAATTTGGACAGCGAATAATTTGATCACATTGACCCTTGCATACTTTTTCTGTATGCCTCCTTCATTTCTGCATTGTCTCGTCAGTACTTTTTGAAGCGGCTAGCACGAAATTATCCGTGCAAAGCGACGTTTCAATATGTCGACTCCGAAGATGTATTTTTTAAACTAATTGGGTATAATTCAGTGCTGCGGGTTATAAAGGCGAACAATAATTATTAATTCAAATCCTTTTATACATGAAAGGAAAACAGCTTGTCCGTTAATCAATTTCGTTACGAAACATTCGCCAGAGCGGCGTTGTTTCAGAAGCGGCGTTGTTTCAGAACAGCGAAATTGATCAATTTTGAATTATAATGAGAGAAGGCGATGTTTCTGTATTGCCGCAGGCGGAAAGTTTGTGAAAACGACGACGAGTGCTTGTATTGTCGCCTATTTACTTAGATAATACATGGTTACATGTCTAGCTCATAGAAAATGGCAATTTAGATAAGATGCAAATTGCCCAAGATGGATCAGGGCGTGTGTAGTGAGATCATGTTATAATAGCTTAGCAAAGCCCGTTTGTCGTTAGCTCGAAGTATAGGTTTTTATTATAACACAAATTGCTCTGCATGTGGTTACAAAAACATACTTTCAAGTCGTACACAAAAGATGTCTAGTTATAACTATTATTTATTTATCAATGTGAGAGTCAAAGTTGAAGTTGCCAGTGCCATAAGATGTGTGGCTTAAGCACATACGGTATACGAGTTTATTCTTACTGATATGAAAGGAAAATAATTAATGCAGGCTTGTCTATGGTAATGGGATGGGACAGCACAAATTTGTATTTCCAATGGAACAGTGGTCATGTCATGTCGACTTGAATACGCCAGAGCTAACCTTGGGTCTTTATACATTTTTACCTTTAAAATGTGTTTTTTACTCTCCCCTTTTCTTCATTTCTATTATATTTTATTTATTTTGTGGTGTGGCACCAGCAAGTTTGTCCATGTCAATAGGATTTACGGACAAGCCTGACTAAATGTACTGTTTACACGTAAATAAAGTGCAGTATTTGCAAGAAATAAAAATTCCTATGTATATCGGACTACCAGTTAACTACATATTATACATATACTATATATTTTGAAAAAGAATTCCTAAAAATGCCATATAAACCTGCCAAGCGAAAAACATGCGAATTGATTCATTGGACGATAGCTATACTTTTAATTTTATGTGTTCTCGGTGCAATAGCAGCAATTGTGTTTGGAGTATTAGTCGCCAAACCTGGAATAGCAGCATTGGATTTCAAGGTGAGGCTTTTTTATTCATTCCAATGCAGAAAACCGACGAGATGGCTATTGGCTCAATCGTTATCACATGGTTATAGAAATAGCCAACAGGTAACCAGTTCATCGTTCTAAACTAAATGATGGCCGTGATTGTAATATGTTCTATGAATACAGTATATGAATGGTAACTTTTGATAAACATTGGATTATTGTATAAATGTTAAAATAATTATGTATAGTTAATATTACTCTGTTACAAATGTTAAGTATACAAATGATTTCACGCCATATCACTCCACATTGATTTGAAATAAACAAATGCGGCGTATCAATTTCAAGGTGTTCATCAAGTCACTATTTTATGAATTATCTTATATACAACGAAGATCTAAAATCGAATGAGAAACAGACAAAATATAAAAAAAAATAACTCACCGCAACTCACTTTTATTCTAGAATCTAGATGAAGTCTAAATTGTACAGCTTGTTTATTTGTTCGTTTTATTTAGAATGCAACGTGCATCGTCAAGAGTTTCGGTTATCGAACAACTATCCCATGTGACTGCAGTGGATTGAGAAGCGACGATCCGTATTGCAGATCTGAATATCCATGTATTCAAATTATGGTTGGTTACGAACCAAGAAAGGACGTTATACATTTCAATGAATCCGAGGTGAGACGTATTTCTTATATAAAGTAGTATGTTACTTTCGGACAAATATTGTATAGTGTGTCAATTACTCCGGCGTACTCCTAAACCATACAATGCTGATAGGATACGACGACAATATTTTGTGTGAATGTGAACCCGATGACTCTGGACCATAAAGATTTATTTATTTCAATACTTCGATAACCCACTTAATTATTTAGTATTACCAGGTTTTATAATCTGCTGTGTAAAATGGGATTAAGTTTTAATGGAATTGTTTCGTCTTATGTCAAACTCGAAACAAAGCCAGACGGGAATCATATTCTAAGACTTACAACGAGTGGTAGGGTTCTAAATTATATTAACTTGCTAATGACATTTAAGACGGGTTCGCTGATATCACGACATTCCGAGAACTGGTTTGCACAAACCCGAACGGGCCCCATGAATCCTATCACTCCTCGCTGCTCCCCTCAGTTCATGTAATAAACATTACATAACTGAACAGAATCATCGTTTGCAAATGTTGAATGCACAGTTTTCTCGCGTTTTTATCAGTGATGTCCAAAACGAATCGAATATTCGAATACATTCAAAGTTGGATTGCAGGATTTTGATCACTGTTCTGTTTTCCCGACTGTGCATCGGGGATTTTTTGCGACCCTTCAATCCCACAACCTTGGACCCCCCTGTACTAAATTTTAGGGTTTGGCTTCCTGGATATTCATCTATAATCTTATTCCCAGATTATTGTTATTTTCATGATTTTCCATGGATCCCTATGGGAAACAGGCATAAATTGCATTGGGATGGGACAAAAAAATACGTCCCATGTACAAGCCAGGTTAAATCCACAACATGACTCTACATGTAATTATTTTTTAGACCCGACAATCAATCAAAGGGTTGTAACTCTGTTACAAATATAATTCCTAAACGATCCAGCATACTTCACGGCTGAAATAAATACCTCTCTCCGCTTTTCTATTCGTTGGGGTTTGCCTTAAGCTCAGTAAAGTGAGCTGGTTTTCCCAGTTTTCACAATACCTTGATTTAAAACCTGATCTCTAACTCTCATGTCTTCCATGTTTACATTCAGAATTTCTTTCAAAACCTTGTAATGATTCGTGAATCAGAAACAGATTTTTCAGGCATAAAGTCACGGGTATGTTATTATAATTAAATCAGTATTTATTGATTTTGTTTTTGAATAGTATTTTAGCTCAAAGCTTTGATATGTATGAGTCAAATATCATTTCAATTCCAACGATTATGTTCGAGGAAAATTAGTTTGTACCAAAAACGACTTCGTGGAATTAATCTGTTAGATACGATCCAACGTCCCCTCAGCTTTTCCTATAGGGCCTGTGTAATTTCCACAACTCAGCTTTGGCTGACTATGCTCAAAATAGATAATGCTCACTTGCAATGCAAAATTGTTTAGTATAGTTCACTGAATAAATGAGACTAAAATATTTAATAAATACTAAGATTTTCTGGTTCTAGTGTTCGTTTCATCATTGTCATCCTGACTTCTCTCAGAACAAATTACTTGTAGAAGAATTTCGTAAAAAATACGGAAAACCAAATTCGTATTATCCATGCCAGTACAATGTTAATAACAAAGAGCAGGTAAGTTTGACATTCATATATATAATTTAAATATTATGTTTTATCATCTTCGGTGGTTTGGGGGGAGCTGACTCCGATGACCTTATGGTCGTATCGCTCCCCCCAGTCTATACCGAATTAACTTTGTGTATATTGTATACATTATTTTGTATACCATTGTTCGTTTACGGTTGACAAAACAATAAATCTCTCTCTCTCTCTTATAACATTTCAATTTGCCTTTTAAATAAAAATATGCGTAGCAGTGTCAAATTTGTTTTAAAATCGAAGATTCTAGCCAACTTGAGTATTATACGCACCTTCCCCCATAAAAATGTCACTTGTATCAATTTAAATTATCAAATTGTAAATGTTTATGATCGACCCTTTATTTATAAAAGATGGAAGTGTGGATAAGCGAAAATTATTACTTTGAGCTGTGTAGCAAAAGGCCATACTGTCCACACGGCTCACACATAAATACAAAATGTCAGCTGATAACTTTGAAACTGCATGGAGACCCCAAAAGCAAACTATTTTGACCAGCCAAAACGCTGTATCCCAAAACCATCATGTCACGTACCAAGCCATATCGTATTATATACAATTGTGCGGTGAGAGCCAATCTACACTTATCTTCTCCAAATAATTGACACATTTTATTTTACATATTTCAGGTTGTAACTTCGCTCAGATTCAAGACAATAGATGTATTATTGTCTCTAATCATTCCTTCTTCAATATTTTTACTTTGTCTTATTATCGTTGTAACAATATGCGTTATAAGATGTAGACAAACTGCCAAGAGGAAAGCCAAACATCCAGTACCGAATCCATTTGCCGGACCAAGGAACTATATGGGGCGTGACATGCCCGCATTTGAACCTGACGAAACTGTAGACAACATGAATAAACTTCCCGACCCATTTGCCCAGATAAACGACATGTTATCAGAAAATGGCGAGGCAAAACAGAGCAATAATGTTGAAATGGAGAAATCAGAAACGGAAGATAGTGGTGATGTGCAATTGTCAGATATTGTACCACAAAGAGCACAGATGTCCACTGCTATGTAAAAACTGTGAATTTTTTATACTATATATTATGTAATGACAGTTTACATAAACCAAATCAATGATTGCACAACGAAATAAAATGTTTATTCATAATTGAAGAGTTTGGTTTGATTTTCGTGACTAATGTCAGTTGGTTATCAAATATTCATTTATAATTATATGAATGAATTGTCGTTACTTGTGCAAGGGATCAATAAGTCACACCGAAATCCAATATTGTATCTATAAAGTAACGGTAAACTTCAAAACCAAACCATTACACAAATCGATTAAATTGAGGTGCTGGAATGAATGATTTATTCAACAATAAACAATGCCTGTCTTAGTCCATGCACAACCATTTTTTCGAATTTATCGAATGTACCCCCCCCCCCTCTCAAAAAAAATTCTTAACTCTAAGTGCCCAAACCACCACATTTCTGCGTACCTCGAAATTTCATCACCGTAAAATTATGATCCTAGAATCGCGAACCGCCGAAAGAAGAACGATCGAGGTGGCATTGAACTTGTGCAAATATAACTTCCAAATGCAGCTTTCACTAAGATTTATTTTTATCTATTTAAACCAGGGTGGTCCAAACCCAGGCCCGTGGGACACAGCTTCATTATCCGTGGCACGTGTCGCATTCGAAGTGTAATCAAAAAATCGCATTCGGTGTTGTCTCGTCATAAAATTAACCAGAAAAACCTTTTGAAATATTGTTACATCACTAATTTCACTGAATTGACTTAGTGTTATGGCTAGATGAGGCAACTAGCAAAGTTAAATGACAAATACTGATCAATGTGTTTGTACAATAAAATTGTTTGTTTTGTATTGCACTGTTTACCTATTCTTGGCGCTATTGTGGCCCGCCGCAAAAAATGTTGTTGGCCCGCGGAGCCTACAACCTTGGACCATCTTGATTTAAACAGTAGGTAAAACAGGTAGAATGTTATGATCAGTTTCAAAGAACTAGGCCTCTGATGAGTTCGGACCCCGATAACAAATAAAGAAAAACACCAATGCGATTCATATAGTCTTTGAGTTGAGTTTTATACACCTCACTTATACAAAAATCAATTCAACGTAGAATGAAGACCTTTATCGGAAACAGGAGGTCGGTAAGTCCACTTCATAAATGATTATTTTCCGTCCATTTCAAAGAACTTATCCGTGACGTCAGCATTACTATACCTTCGATGCGTAAACAGATGAAGAATTCCATATACGCACATGTATGCATCCGCTTTACTTCCATTTTCAAGTAGCATAGTAAAACTGAAACTTAACCTGGGCCAGACATTTAAACTGTGTGATTTAATTCCCAAACTCCATCCATATTGAATATTTCTCGGCTATACCTAAATACATATACGTAAATACCCGTAACATACATGCGTAATATCCGTTTGTAGGTGCATTCAATAGATGCGTAATAAGGTTTTACGGTTCATTTCGTCAAAAGACTGTTACAAGACGTACGGATCAGCAGAAATTATTACACTACCTAAGAGTGAAGCCAGACAGTTGAAGTTTAAAAGGAATTTAAATAGAAATGATGAGGAGATTGATTTTGGCGGTAAGTTATTAGAAAAGTATATATCATTTTGATTAAGGACGTTGGTGACGCTGCCCGATAAATGGTTTATCGCGTATTCCTTCACCCTGGAATGCCACTTCTCATTTTACTTCACTCTGTATATATGTACTTTATGAGAATTTTCGATATGTGAAAAAATAAGCTATTTACTGAGTTTTTATGTATAATCAAAAGAATATGCAAAATTTTGAAAATGAATTCCAATCCAAATCTCAGCCATCAAGGACACATCGTTAAAATGATTGAACCACGAAACATACAACAATGCTTATATGTTTCTCGTCATCAGCTTTGGTGGGCAGAGTTTGTCGTTAAAATGTGATCGCGATCGTTTAAAAAAGTTTATATATTTTTATCCAAAGCAATAAATATGATTTAACTTCAATAGCTTGGTGCTTCTTTGGCTAGTCGACGCGTGGAGGAAAAACGCTGCTTCATTATCACGATATGCCAATACATTTCTCTAATGAGGTGGCTTCCAACATTTTTTCAAGCAACCCAAATTTTTTAAATAATAGTTTTTGTAAAATCTCGCGAACCAAGGATACTAAACGGCATGCAGTTACGTGGCATTACATAAGCAAAATAGATGTTGCCAAGTTTTTCCGCTTCTTTATTTCCCACATATACAATTACTGCTGAGCACAAGTCAATACAAAACAAACAAGAAAATTTACAGGGAAATAAACTGAATAATAGTAATTCTTTGTTAGAAACAAAGCGACCCGAGAGGATTTCAGAAGACCCATTTTTTGGTCGCGATCAATAGGTTCGGAAACACTGCTTTAATGTTCATTTATTTCAATTTTATCTGACTTTCAGATACTTCTCGTCCAAGCTATCACAGCCGAATATGTTTATGACGAAGAAGTTGTGTCAGACTATTATGGAGAAAATAATGAATATCATGGCAATGAATATGGAAGTTCTGATATTTATGGCCAAAATTACAATGTAGAAAATAGACAAGGTTCTAATGATTTCAACGAACAAACAACAGCAACTTCGGCGATTGAATACCATTGTAAGTTTATATATATATATACTTATTGTTAACAACAAATATCTTGGAAATTTTTTTTTTAATAGAAAAATGGCTTGAATCATGTATCAGTATTCCGTATCAGAATGGTCCAGATGTAATCAGTAATCAGTAATCAGTAGTTTATTTCTCACCATACTTAAAATAGGCACAAACATACAAATTGCAATAAATTAAATTATAAATTGGCCATATTTCAGGGTGAAGGAGACGCGAAAACCAATACTGGTTATCGAGCAGCGGCACCTATAAAATAAGTCTAACACTATATATAAAAACAAAACAAAAAACGAACTAAGTTTAAATAAATTGAGGAAAAAAATACATAAAATATCTCGAGACGATCTGCTGTAACCAGCAATCGCTCGCTTCAACCAAAGTGACTATAATAGTCACTTAGGCTTCAACAAAAGAAAAGACAACTCCGAACACCACTGATTCGGTAGCCATGGAGATGGCGTTAGTGGATTGTATCACAACAATACTATTGTGAAGCCCATTAGCTAACAATGGGCAATAAATGTCAAATTCTGATGGCGCATGGTTATTGGTTACAGTGGAACCCATGGTTTGCTGAGGGCGACAACAGGATCACCAACGAATAAACCATACCTTTATGCTAGAAAGGAATTGAGGTACCTGTTAATGGGATCTAGTGATTGGCAGCTGGAGTCAGGGCTTCACATAACGGGGTCTCATGTACTTTCTTACCTGAATAACTTCTAGTGGGCGTGGCGTAACAATTTTTGGATATATGATTCCTGACCCCTACCTGATGACGTCATCCAAAAATTACGTCACTGCGACGTCACAATAACGAAATACAGCTTGCCAAAGTATAGCGACGGTCACCCGTAATGGCGCCTACGAGTATGTCAACAAACTCAATACGTCAGCGACCTCTCTCTTATCGGGGTCGTTGTACAGAGCTCAAAAATAAACAAGAATCACAAGCGACTAAATTGTCGCCAAGGAACGTTCACGATATCCCATTCTGACCAATTTCTGTCCAGCAATAGCTCATGTATCGTGCTACAATCTAAAATAGAGCGTTATACGATACAACTCTAACCAAGGCTTTAGACAAGCAGAAAATACATGTTATTTTACGCATGGTTGAAGTTGGGTACCACACACATAAAGACTATTATTTTATGTCCAGCAATAGCTCATGTATTGTGCTACGATCTATTAATAGGGTGATATACGATACCGCTCTGAGCTAGGCTTTAGACAAACAGAAAGAACATTTAATTCACGCAATGATTGAGGTTAGGTGCCGCAGACATAAAGACTTGTTATTTAATATCCAGAGACTGATCATGTATTGGGCCACATTTTATTAATAGGACGTGGAACGCTTTCACTCTATGCAGGCTTTAGACAAGCAGAAACCGACATATTAATTTGCCTTAGCGCAATGGATGTAGTTTCTTACCTCGATAACTTATACTTATCTTAGCGTAACAATTTTTGCATATATCATTCCTGACCCTCACCTGACTTCGTCATCCAAAAATTACGTCAATGCGATGTCACAATAACGAAATCGAGCTTGCCCAATAATAGCGACCATAATGCAATCGTGATAAATACGCCTGTGTGTCCTATGGATGTAGTTTCTACCTCAATAACTTCTAGTTAACTTAGCGTAACAATTTTGCATAATATTCCTGACCCTCACCTGACTTTAATCATCAAAAATTACGTCAATGCGACTCACAATAACGAAATAGAGCTTGCCTAATAATAGCGACGATTACTGTGTAATGCCCCTATGGATGTAGTTTCTTACCTCAATAACTTCTAGTTAACTTAGCGTAACAATTTTGCATATAATATTCCTGACCTCACCTGACTTCGTCATCCAAAAATTACGTCACTGCAACGTCACAATAACGAAATAGAGCTTGCCCAATAATAGCGACGATTACTAGTAATGCACCTATGGATGTAGTTTCTACCTCAATAACTTCTAGTTAACTTAGCGTAACAATTTTTGCATATAATATTCCTGACCTCACCTGACTTCGTCATCCAAAAATTACGTCAATGCGACTTCACAATAACGAAATAGAGCTTGCCTAATAATAGCGACCATAATGCAATCGTGATAATACGCCTGTGTGTCCGCTATGGATGTAGTTTCTTACCTCAATAACTTCTATTTCTTAGCGTAACAATTTTTGTATAATATTCCTGACCTCACCTGACTTCGTCATCCAAAAATTACGTCACTGCAACGTCACAATAACGAAATAGAGCTTGCCAATAATAGCGACGATTACTTTAATGCCACCTATGGATGTAGTTTCTTACCTCAATAACTTATACTTATCTTAGCGTAACAATTTTTGCATATAATATTCCTGACCCTCACCTGACTTCATCATCCAAAAATTACGTCAATGCGAATTCACAATAACGAAATAGAGCTTGCCTAATAATAGCGACCATAATGCAATCGTGATAAATACGCTGTGTGTAGTTTCTTACCTCAATAACTTCTAGTTAACTTAGCGTAACAATTTTTGCATATAATATTCCTGACCCTCACCTGACTTCGTCATCCAAAATTACGTCACTGCAACGTCACAATAACGAAATAGAGCTTGCCAATAATAGCGACGTTATTCGTAATGGCACCTATGGATGTAGTTTCTACCTCAATAACTTCTAGTTAACTTAGCGTAACAATTTTTGCATATAATATTCCTGACCCTCACCTGACTTCGTCATCAAAAATTACGTCACTGCAATCACAATAACGAAATAGAGCTTGCCCAATAATAGCGACGATTATCGTATAAATGCCTGTGTGTCTATGGTGTAGTTTCTTACCTCAATAACTTCTAGTTAACTTAGCGTAACAATTTTTGCATATAATTCCTGACCCTCACCTGACTTCGTCATCAAAAATTACGTCAATGCGAATTCACAATAACGAAATAGAGCTTGCCTAATAATAGCGACCATAATGCAATCGTAATACGCCTATGGATGTAGTTTCATACCTCAATACTTCTATTAGGCTTAGCGTAACAATTTTTGTATATATGATCCTGACCCTCACCTGACTTCGTCATCCAAAAATTACGTCACTGCATCCTCCCAATCACGAACTAGAGCTTGCCTAATAATAGCGACGATAATAAAGCCGTAATAATGGCGCTTGCGAGTACGCTATGAGTGTATTTTTGTACCACACAACTAAAGCCTTGTTATTTGATGTCCTTCCGTACGTCATGTATTCGTCCTACCTTTATTCATAAGACGTTAAACAATGTTAAGATCCTTCAAATGTTAATACCACTACAATGTTTCCAGACCTTTTTCATCTTGCGGTTCACTAACAGCGAAATATTAAGAAAAATGTTTTCTGTTCTCATACCGATCTTTGAACACTCGCTCGCTAAAATTGGTTAACAGAAATTTGACATAGTGGAGGAAGTGGTATAGTATTTGATCTCCAAGTAATTCAGGGGAAATGTGAAAAAGGATGAAAGAAGACCATATTTATAGGCTCTTCAATTTTCTAACTGTTGAAATTTGGAATGGATTCGACTTCAAGCGCAATCGATAATTAAGCATTCGTTCACAATCCTGAGTTAATTTCCAGGATGCATCTCTCATCTATCTGTCGTTACGTTTTAAATAGAACTTATAATCATATTGGATGATTGTAATGAGCAATGAGCTCAATAGGTAAATTATATGAGTAATTGTCAATTTCGTTTTTAATGTTTATGAAATGATCTATTCAATTTCCTCAGCACAGAAGCATCTTCTGACAAACTTCCGAAAAAAGAAAACTTTAAATACAATGATAGCAACGGCTATGTATAGGAACCCAATATGTCTAAACGTTTGTCCTTCGGTAGAACGTGGGTGTTCTATAAAATTATAGCGCTTTTCAAAATTGAAATAGGCACCAAACAAAGCCAAATTTTAATCAGAACAAGTAAAATGCCTATGTCATAGTCGCGCAGAGAAAGGGGAGTAAAATGGAAATCACAAATACAGCACACATTAAAGTAGTGCATAATTATTCACACGTCTGTCTCAAATATTTTCATTGTCCTTTTTGAGAATCTGAGTACCCTGTGTCAAAAGTCTTCCGAATCCGACTATAGGGATAGAATGTCAAGATCCGTAAAATATTTGCCTTTGTATATGTGGCACTACACTCATTGGGGGACCGTAAATTAATATGCCTGTTTCTCATTATCCAAAGTCCATCCAAAGTCTTAGTCCGGCAGATAAGGGGACCTTTTTGGCCCAAGTTTGATTTCAGACATAAAGTTTTTTTTTTTGTGAGTATTCATCTTGGGGTCATTGCCCATCATTTCTACATGGGTGTGGAGTTTGCAGCCTTGAGCACTTTTTTTACGGCTCGATATTTGTATTAGTGTTTTTTGTCAAACCTGTGCATCATAATGACGCACAACCTGAACCATAACCTGTTACAATACTATGTTCAGGTTGTGCGCAATCTTGGTGCACAAACTACGCAAGCACCAAATTTACTAGGAAATAAAATCGATACCTTCTAGGTATTTGTTGAGCCCAGCTTTGGGTCGCGACCCATATACAGTATATGGAAATACTGTCGAAACATACGCGTAAAATAAAGAGTACTATTTCAAAATACCCGTTTTTTTTGCAATTAACAGTACAAGCCTGCTAATGTAGTCGCCAGTGGTTCAAGTGGATATACACCCGGTGGAGAACAGTCAATTATTTGTTGGCGAGAATTGTTATGCAGCGGGATGATCACGACGACGCAGTGAAAGATAATGATATCACGAGAACAAGAATGAGAAAATTGCTACATTTTATAGTATATCCCTGGGAAAGAATGTAGTTCATTCTTATGTTCCATGCCAATGCTTTTCAAACTACCAAAGACTCTCAACACTTTTGCTTCTTCTCTTCTATAAAAATACATTGTTATTATATATTCGCATTTCCATCTGTTTGTT